CCCCTAGTAAAGCCATGCTGGCTGTCTCGAAGGTGTTAATTTGTGTCTAACAATTAACTTGCCATAGTGGTCTTTGTAATCTTTAGACTCTGAGGGAGGGGGAAATAATCAGTATTTCTTTTGAAGGCAGAGCTCTACTTCCTTATGGGTAGCATCTCAGCAGGTGAAGTGTTCCTAGCTATAGTCCAATTCTGTGTCAATTCTGCCCCTTATACTAAATGCCAAGTATTTCATATACAATGTGATAAAACTAAACAAAACCCTCAACAGCCCTGGAGGATCCGATAAAGGACATTGTATTGTTGGATGTCCCCACATTTGAGCATCTGCTGCACTCATACTCCCTGCTTTTTGTCCTGTTTCTGCAACCGACTCTTGGGTCTGGTCTTCAGGTGACCTGGGCTGAACTTTTCCTCTTCCCAGTTCAGCATCACCAAAGGTATTACAGTACTCGGGGGCAAGAGATGTCCCAGTGCCAAATGGTGGAGTCTGGGGCAGCTGCTTGACGTAGAACTGGGAGTCTTGGAGATAATTATGCACATCAGGCAGAAACAATGAGAGGAAACAGCAGTGAGACGGTTCATTTGAGTTAAACTTTGGGATGAAATCCATTTTCCAAACAGATGTAATTAAGTGGTTTGGTGTTTTATAAATTATAATTATAATTGCTATTAATGTTAAATACAGTGACATCTCTTTTGCTATAATATCCTGGCTCTGGGAGGGAAGTAGTCCAGGAAAGAGCCTCAAAACTCCTGCCCAGCTTAAATGTTTCTTATGAGTCTGATATCAGCTGTGTGCCTGTTATAGTTTAAGGGTAGCAGCCTGAAAGGGAAGGACAGGTGGTGTCTGTAGGACCCTGGAAGGTCAGAGATCAGTACTGTTCCCTCCCCTTTCTGGCCACAGTCTATAAAAAACCCGAGGTTTTCGCGGGCTTTTCCTGGCTTTCCTGGGCTGCTTCCTGTCGCATCTCAGGACGGCTGGGCCTAGCTCCACGTGCTCGGCAGCATCCGCCACCACCCGCTCCCGGCACCACCGCGGCACC